CATTCCTGAACCTGAATTGCAACCTGTTACTTCCCTAATAAACCTCATAACTGTGAGTATGGTCTGTGAGTTCTGTGTGACCATTGCAACGAATGATTGAACTCAGCAGAGAAGTAGAGAGTGCCGTGGGAGGGACAGTTGGTGTCAGAATTAGTAAAGATGATGCAGAGAGGAGGCACCTCTGACCTCCTTCTCATAGGAATCAGCCTTGGGCTGTTGATCTTGATTCTCTTTCCCCCTTGAGGAGGTTAGATGCCTCAGCCACGCCATTTTTACAAACTCAAAATAGACATGGTCCCTGCCCATATGGAACTTACCATCCAGTGGAAAACGATGAAAATAATAGAAAATCAGGTGACATCAAGGGTGAGGTTGATGTACAAAGTATTCCATGAACCAGAGCAAGGCAACAAAGTAGCTCTGAGCCTCCTGGCAGCCAATGCCTAGAGGGAAACACCATCAGTCACCTGCTGGCAAATCTTCAGGAGAAACCCAGCACTTCTGGATGTTGAGACCAGAGAGAACTTACTCTGTGATGTAGTCTTCTGTATCCTGACAACAACAGCAGATTCCACAGTGGATGGAAGCCCAGGAGACATCCCACTCCTGACCTCAAGTAGCTTGTCTGTCTTGGGAGGTGGGATTAATTTTCATAAAACAGAAAAGAAGTAAGGAGGCATATTCATTATAAAATGCTAAAACACATGGAAACTACATTTATGTCCCTGGACACTGCTAGATTCTAACTACGCAGAGTGCAAGATCCGTGCACAAGAAACTAAAGAAGGAAATAACTGGATTTCAGTCAAAGTTTGGTTCAGGACTAAGAAGAGGGTAATTTCAATTAGTAAAGACAGTCAGACATGTTCCCTGACAGCTTCTCCCACAGGCCCTGTGAAATGACTCTCCTGCCCGTGCCACACAAGCACACATCACACACACATACACACGACCCTCCATAAAACAACTGCTTTGTCCTTTTCTCCTTGGGGTTTCTGTTCCCCCATGATCAACTGTGGGGTCTGTCCTCACAGAAGCTTTGGAATTCAGGGAGTGACAAGTCCTTGATGAGCAGTAAGACTAGATCAGTGGAGGGATGTGTGATGAGGGGCCAGGCTCCACTTGACCCCCTGCTCTCCTTCTCGAGAACCACAGCCCAAGGAGAGGTGAGATGCAAATTCCTTCATGGTGGGGGGTAAACTGCCCCCATCATGAAGATAATTACTCACCTTGATGAGCCATTTCGCTAACATATGCCAATTTATTTCCCTGGCTGTCTCATTAAAAGTGAGTAATGGTCCTTTGCCAGGCCTCTGCCTTCGACTCTGGTTTACAACCTAAGATGAAGAGCAGAGTGGGCGCTCCCAGGGATTGTGGGCTCCCGGCAGCGAGGTTTACAAAAGCAGTTCTCCAAGTAATGAAGGCAGGACCTGGGGCAGACGAAGGAGTGGCTCCATTCTAATGAGCTTCCCAATTGGCCCTTATCCATCACTTCTCCCAAGGACCTTCGGGCTCCTTGCAGAACTTGCTTTGCATACAGATCAGGGAAAATTCTGCTGAGTTTGGGGCCCATTCCTTGAGGTGGATGGTTTCTGGCCCCTGCGACCTGCCAGGCTTTTTGCCTGTGGAGGACAGAAGGGAGGCAGGGTAGCAGGAGGACAGAGGCACAGTATGTGGAGTCAGCCTGACTGTCGTTGACTTACACGCTCAGTGTCTCCCCACAGGAGGCCCTCAGCCTCCCTCCTCTTAAATTCCAACCCCATGAGAGCATAGTAGTAACAGTCCCTACCTCATTGTGGGGTTGTGAGGCCTCAGGAGAGGCAGTGTGCGGTATGATGTTTGCAGGGTGCCCTGTGTATAGGGAGTGTCCACTAATGATGCTGTGATTATTAGATATTTACCTGGGTGATTGGGATGTGAGTTTTCTTTACTCCCCGTGGATTTCCAGGCTGAAATCAGGAGTAGGTAACTCTGAGTTGGGGACATCACCTCCTCCCTCTTGAGAAGCTCTGGATCCATTTCACGTGGCTTTCACGCCCCGTCTTGTGGCACTTGGCCAGTCTCTCTGAGATAGACAGAGCCTGGATCCTCATTTCCATTTGACAAATGGAGAAAACAGAGTTTTAGAACGTGAAGAACCTAATATCACCTGTCACACTGGTGGCAGAGTTGGGACAGGAACTCATGTCCGCTGACTGTTGATCCCAGGGTCTTTCCAGCAGACTTCTGTTCCTGAATGGTATTTAACAGGATCCCATAGCAAGGGTATTTAGGTTCATGAACACAAAATTGGGTCTTGATCTATATCTACTACTTTGTGTGTGTGCGTAGTGAGTGTGTGTGTGCATGTGTGTGTGCATGCGTGAGAGAGAGAAACCTTTGACTAATCACTTAAATTCTGGCCCAGTTCCTCATTAGTAAAATGGGGATTAAATATGACACCTGTGTCATTGGGTAGATGCGTTACCTGAACCCATGCAAGCAAAGCCCTCACCAGATTGTCTGGTACAAACAAGCAGTCAACAATGACAGGGAATGAGGAAGAGGTCTCAATGACACTAAATTATCGCCTGTCAGATTTTTCTACTTTTCAAGCAATTGTTTGGTCTTCACACAGCCTCAACTGACCTCTTTCATTGTCAGAAGGTTACCGAGAAGTAAGAGGACTCTGATGCTTCAAAAAGTCTGCATATACTAAAAGTAAATGACAACACTTCTTTTCCATCTGAATATAGAAGTAACGCACGCCCTTTGTGAGGAATTTGGAAAGCACAGAAAAACATGAAGAGTAACTCACCCGTAATTTCCCCAGAGATAACCACTATTGACATTTTATCATACTTCCAATATTTTTTCTGTGAATTTTTAAACAAAATTAAGTCCACAGTATCCTTGCCATTCTTTATCTTCCCCTTTTGACTTAACATTTTATTATATATATTCACCCTATTCTTGAAAAGACTTAATACTCACTACTTTTTATGCTAAATAACATTCCATGCTATACATAAAAACCAAAACCAAACCAGTTGCCATTGAGTCAACTCTTGTTGACAACCCCATGTGTGTCCAAGTAGAACTGTGTTCCATGGAGTTTTCAATGGCTGATTTTTCAGAAGTAGATCACCAGGCCTTTCTTCCAAGGCACCTGTGGGTGAACTCAAACCGCCAACCTTTTGGTTAGCAGCCAAGCTATTTAGCTCTTCTATTACTATTGGACACCCAGTTTCTTTCCTGTTTTTTGGCATAATAAATACTGCTTAGCTGAACACATTTGTGCATATATCTGCCATTTATATGATTTTCCTAGAATCAATTTCTAGACATGGAATTGCATGTATAAAAAAATATGAACACTTTCAAAGTGACAGCCATATATTGCCAAGTGCCTTTCCAGAGTTGTTGTTCCTATTTAAGCTCCACCAGAATAAGGGTTCTGTTCAGTGTGCTTGTCTTCCTCACTGTCCTCCCCATCCCTGAGTAGAGGAGTTTTTAAAAAATGTCTTCACTGATATGCAAGGTAGGTACTGATGGATCTTTGAGAGTTAGCCTCTCAGATTCACAAATCTAGACCTGGAGAAACAGGCCCAGGGACCTCTGCTCACCTGGGTTAAATGTGGACTCCAGTCTCCTGAGAAGGCACGACTAGGAGAAATCATTCATGTAGAAAGAATACAATTGCAAAGACACTAAATGTGGCTTTGAGCTTTAAAAAAGGCTTTAAGTGTGTGTCTTATCCAGAAATAAGCCTCCTCCCTGCAATAGTTGGTCCCGATATTATACTCTCATTTATGGCCTAATGCTTCAAATTCGGTGCTTTGAAATCCATTCTCACATGCATGAAGTTGGTGGTGGTGGAGAACGTAAATTAGTTTCTCAGACAGTTTCATTAAGACTTGTTACTGAAGTGGAGCTACAACAAATTGAGCCATGGTTTCGGCTTGTGTGTTTATTTTTCTACCACGATCAATAGTGTTTGGTCTGCTTAATGTCCCACATATTGTAAACACTGAGCCTTCGGCTTCGAAGAGGACTATCTTTCGAGAGCCATTTAACTTGAAAGAAAGAGCAAGTTAAAACTTTGTTGTTCAGAATTTCATTTGATGTTGCAGAACCATGCTTCTTGTTGTTACATTAAAGTGCTTGGGCCAGCCAGCGTTCCTCCCCTGGGATGACCATACCCACAAACAAGTTTGTTAACAGAATCCAGGGGGAATGTTACCAACCCAATCCTGAGCTGTTATAGGGCTGTGCGGGCCCCAGAACAGAAGTGAAACAAATATTTGGGGAAAAACGAAAGGGATTCTGAACACCAGCCGCAAGACCAGAAATGCATCAAACCTATTTTTCTTCAAAGATTTTTCACTGACTTTGTTAAACTAAATTCTACTTCAAATTGGTGGAAGCAGCACTTTTTTTTAGAAACAGTCCAGAAGCAGACAGCTGAATAACCAAAACTAACCCACTTCCCGACCCCATGCATTACAGAGTAGAACCGCTCCATAGGGTTTTCTTGGTTAGGGTCTTTATAAATGCAGATCACCAGGCTTTTCTTCTGTGGCACCACTGGGTGGGTTCAAACCACCAATCTTTAGGTTAGTAGTCAAGCAGAGATTGTTTGTGCCACCTAAGGACCTAAGTATCAGAATAAATGAGTCTAATTCTTGATCTAATGCTTTGGGCAACTTTGTACCTCGCCCTGCCCCATCAGGCTCTACCTCCCCATCTCTGCACCCCCTAAATTTACTCACATATATAGCCCCTGCTGAGGACTAGGATTGAGTACTGTTTTACTAATGTTGGATGATCAACGGATCCACTTTTCCAATTTTTAAAATATTATTTGACTTCCCTAACTTGCCAAGTTTTCTTATCTTAGTCCATGTTGTCTCCATTTACACGAATAGAAAGAAAGCCCATTAGGTACTTTCCCTCTGTTTTGATGAAATATGAAAAACAGACAAACAAATAAACACACGTTTGTCTGTTTTTTCATTTCTATTTTCCTGATTTCACTTACGATAAAAGATGATAGTAGCATTAGAGTTCTAATTTGCTATCAACTCCTCCATCAAAGAAAGCAGGAATGAAATTATTCTCAGCAAAGGAAGACTATAATCTCTTGGAATTGAAAAATAAAACTTATTAAATGCATGTTGGACCTGTATTAGTTCCTTGGGGCCGAAATTGCATTTCAGTATAAGTAGTCAATTTAAAGATTGCTCATTAATTAAGAAGATTTATTTCTGAATCATAATAGCAAACCCACAGGAACAAAAACATACGAGTGGCTCAGAAAAATTGTTCAGTCTCTCTTGGAAAAGAAAAATATCTTTGCCACCAGGGCAAGGAATCAGTTATTCTGTGTAGCTTTCAGAAGGGAGGTCACACGTTTTCTTATTGATTTTACTTCCTCTTTGGTAGCAAAATAATGTGAGAAGAGGCAGAGCATTCCTGGGGACAAGCCCAGATGTTAACAAAATACGTGTCAGGACATTTTCTGAATTCCTTCCTTTTCCCAGAGATTTCATGGCAGGTAGGCTCTTAGGCCCTACATCAGGGACACAGCACCTGGGTGCACTTTGGGAGGATGTTTTCGGTAACCCATTACTGATTAGCACAAACCAGTTGGATTCCAGATGTGTGCTGAGAATTCCCTAGAAACCCAGTTGAATAGCCAGAGTGACTCCAACCAGTGGTCACAGGTGGAAGCCAGGTCACAGGTGGAAGCTATGCTCCTGTTTGCTGTTTTTGTTTGTTTGCTTTTTACAAAGAAGTGAAACAGGAAAGGGTCATTTCCTTCATGTGCAGCTTGGTGGAGTAGAGAATGGATTTCGGGAAAGTGTAGTGTGCTTGACTTGATCTGAGATGATTTTGCGCATTCTTGTGTCCTTAGGAAACATCCGGAACACAGAGAAGCTGAACTACGACAAGCAACGCCAGTATGAGATCCTGGTGACTGCCTACGACTGTGGGCAAAAGCCGGCTGCTCAGGACGCCCTGGTGCAGGTGGATGTGAAGCCGGTGTGCAAGCCTGGCTGGCAAGGTGGGCATTGCTTGTGTTAGTATGTCAAAGGAAGGTGGCTGGTCCTAGTGTAGAGGAGGTGCCGAGCTTTGTTCTCATACCACTGCAGCAGACAACTAGAGGAACTGAAAAGTACAGTTATCTGCTGCAAGACAGAGCAACTTATTTATCCTCACAGCTCTTATGTGAGACATTATCCCCATTTTACAGTTGACAACATCAGAGGCAACTAGTCTAAAATAATGGGCTTAGTTTATCCAGTGCTTCCTTTCTCAAATCTTGTGACATCTTGGGATCAATGCTAATTATCCCACCCTGCTCAGGAGAAATTACCAGCAAACCCATTCGCTTTATCTAGAGGTGTTGAGACTAGCTGATGTATTTCAAACTTTGCATCACCACTCAGCACCTGGGGAGACTGTCATCTTCCTCACACTCACACGGAGGGTGTGCATGCTGAGCCGGGAGATCCAGAATCCAGCCTCTCTATTAGGGGGTTTTGAAAATGTCAACTCTCAGAATGGAGAAGCAATGGCCTGAGATGGAGGTGGATTTTTCTGTTAGTTTACATCTTGTAGGATTCAGAGAGAGCAAATGGTTGGGTTACCCTTAGAGGATGGGGATTTATTACTGAGCTACTGGGGAAGCAAGAAAGGTAAGTTCAGTTGTGTAAGTGGATCTTGCAGAAAAGTGGATGGTTTATGGACTAACAACCATCTCTAGTGGTGACAGCAGTTCTGGTGGCCAAGCGGGGATGCCAGAGTTATCTCCAGCAACCGGACTGCTCTGGTTCTTGTGTTGCTGGTGCTGCACGCTGCTGGTTGCTTGTGGTGCTTCATGGAGTCATCCACCTGTGGCTTCTGCTTACTGCTTTCTCTTAGTGTGTCTTTAAGTTTCTCGCCTCCTGTTATATCCCTTCCTTCGTTCTTTCCTTCGTTCATTCTGTATATGTGTATGTGCGTGTGTCTGTCCCTGTCTCACTCTCTTTTCACATCTTTCATTCTTAAAGTTCCTTAGAAAGGGTCTCATTAGCTCTTAGTCACTCGCATCCCTACTGGGCAGACTAAGGCCAAGTCACCATATAGGTCACTGGTCAGGCTTTGAGTGGCTGCCTTTTGGTCAGGAGTCCAGTCCTGATCCAATTCATCATGGTCTGATTGGCAGTACCTCAGTACAAAGCAAGGAAACCTGTGCCTGAGGAACCACCTGGAGCACTCCCCTCAGAAGATAGCCTTCAAAGTGCTCCTCTCCAGCACAATTTTATCTCCCTTAAACTAGAAAGATGGAAGAGTAATTAAACTCACTTCTGGAGAGAGCCAGAGTCATTGCCCTTTGAACAAAGTTCAAAAATTGTTCAGTAGAGGAGCCACAGGCAAGGCACATGAGAGGTAAAGAACAAAGTAGAGTCATTTTTGTCTTCAAGATTAAGCAAGAGCTAAGGGTAATGGTTGCACAGCTGATTAATGTAATTAATGTCAATAATCTATACTCTTATAGAAAGTTAAGTTGGCAAATGTTGTGGGGTAAATATTTTTACAACAACAAAAAAGAGCAGCTGTTGAGGCTGCTTATGTACAACCAAATACCTCATGGGATTTGGTTTCTTGATTGGGAGGTTTAGGATCATGGTTTCATGGGACATCCCAGTTAATTGGCGTAATATCGTGTTTAGTGCTTCTGTTCTACCTCCTAGTTCATTGCATAGTGCCTGAGCTCTTAAAAACTTGCCAGTGCTATCCAAGGCACAACAATTGGTTTCTATTCACCTGCAGCAACAGAGGAAGAGGAGAGTCAGGAATAGGGGGAGGAAATGGAATGTATGGCTAATTACCTCCATGAACAACTACTTCCTTTGCCATGAGACCGGAAGAACTCAATGGTGCCCAGCTACCATTACTAAACATTTTGATCAAAGATTCTATAGAAGAATCCTTACCAAAAGGGGGGAAATGTTAAACAGAATTTCAAATTTTCATGAAATCCAAACTTTCTGGAGTCATTGAGACTGGTTGAACCCCAAATCTATTGCCCTGAGATAATCTTTAAACCTTAAACCAAAAATATCCCCTAAAGCCTTGTTTAAACCAAACAATAGTTTAGCTTGATTAAAGACTGTCTGCCATGAACCTTGCACTCTTTTAAGATCTATCTATATGGGATCTAACTGACAACAGCAACTCCAAGTGTTAGATAGGAAGCTTTGGGGACAGTGAACTTATGTTAATGGGGGAGGAACAATTCAGAAAAGGAGAGTGACAGTGGTTGCACGACTGGAAGAATGTAATCAATGTAGAAATTGTTCACTTGGTGTATGTTTTGCTTTGTATATTTTCAACAGCAACAAAAAAATAAAATATTTTTAAAAAAGATCAAGCAAGAAGCAGAGTAAGAGGGACAAGCCAACCTAGGGAGTCTGAGCTCTGGTTGGGTATAATTCACTAGACCCTAAGGACCACGAGGGCAGGACTCCGTCTCTCTCATTTACCGCTGAATTCCTCAGGCTTAGCACAGTGTCTGGCCCCTATGGCAGGTGTTGAAGAAGTAGTCACTGAATGAACAGTTGAATGAATGAATGAAAATATATTTGAATTAAGAAGAATTTACCTTGTTTGCTTTTAACTTGTAAGGACTGGCCCCAATGAAGGTCTGGCCTTTGAAAAGAAAGCCTGAAAAAATACAAAAGCTTTCTAAGTATGGAGTATGCTCACAATGATAGGATTTTAAGTGGGAAAAGCAAAATTTAAGTCCGTATCTGGAGTGTAGTTCCAATGTGTTTTGTCTTTGACAAATAAGTCTCCTACAGATTTGCGATTACATTTTGGTGCGTATGTTTAAATGTAATTTCTTAATGGAGTTTCTACTTGTTTCAGGGTTAAATACATACAAAGAAAAACATATTGATAATGTTTAATTATGTGAGTGAAGAACATATTGAGTGCCTAGCTTTGCTGCACACTGCTATTTGTAGCTCTAGGCATCAAGCTCCTGGGGGCGAAGGATCGGGCCCCTGCATTGTCGCGTCTCCAATACCCAGCACGGGGCCGGTCACAAGGCAAGTGTTGAATGAATAAATAAATGAATGAAGTAAATTATGAGTGAGACCTTGTTAAAATATGTAGTAATTTTCAGCTGCTAACTGAAAGGTCGCTTCTTGGAAAATCTATGGGACAGTTCTGCACTGTCCTATAGGGTCGCTATGAGTTAGAATCGACTTGATGGCAGCGGGTTTGGCTTTTTTGGTTTATGGAGCAAAGAAGAGGGCAGTGGTGGCTCAGTGGTAGAACTCTCACCTTCCATGTGGGAGATCAGGTTTGACTCCCACCCAATGCACCTCACGCACACCCATAGCCCGTCTGTCAGTGGAGGCTTGCGTGTTGCTATGATGCTGAACAGGTTTCAGCGGCGCTTATGACTAAAATAGATTGGGAAGAAAAGCTTGGCAATCTGCTTTTGAAAATCGGACAACAAAAACCCTATGGATGACGATGGTCTGACCCACAGCTGATCACGAGAATAGTGCAGGACTGGGCAGCATTGTGTTCCAATGTATATGGGATCTCCATGAGTGGAAGGCTGACTCCAAGGCAGCTAACAACAGGGAATAAAGAAAAGAGGGAAGAAGCAACTCCCTGCGTCAGTTCACCCTGTCAGGCAAAGGGACTTAAACACGTGTGACATCAGAATCAATGGCCTGATGGTGGCTTCCCTGTCTAAGCAGGCCAGCCTGGGATGGCAGAGGCTGCCACCTGATTCTGCATCGCGCCCCTCCTCTCTCCAGTTTATCCCTATAACCCATTGCTGTCGAGTCGATTCTGACTCATAGTGACCCTATAGGACAGAGTAGAACTGCCACATAGGGTTTCCAAGGAGCAGCTGGTGGATTTGAATTGCCCACCTTTTTGTTAGCAGCCAAACGCTTAACCACTGCAGTCTCCTCTCCCCAGCCATCACCCCGGCTCGCTTCCGCATCATAGACTGGTCCTCCGGGTTCTCTGACATGTGTAGCAGTCAGTGGTCAAGGTGCCTTACAGTCACTCCTCTCACAATACTGTCTCAGCCCCCAGACCTCCTTCCAGCGCCCTGTTCCATTTTATTTCTCCACTTGGGCTCGCCGTCCTCTCAGACTAACCCTCCTCCGGGCCTGCTCTGCCTTCCTCCCTTGGCCATGCCTGCAGCCTCTTGGCTGGAAGTGCACCTTTCTCCAAGAAGATCTTACCACCACCAGTCCCACACGTGCACCTCTTATCTGGCCCCTTTCAGCATTATAGAACAAACTGGAGTGAGCCATGTTTTACCAGATTTCTTGTTGGCAGCTTTTTAATAACCTTTTCAATCTCATCTGTTGTTATGGATTTATTTAGTTGTGCTACCTCTGTTTGTGTTAATTTAGGTAAGTAGTGAGTTTCTAGAAATTTGTCCATTTCCTCTAGGTTTTCAAATTAGAGTACAATTTTTCATAGTATTCCGTTATGATTCTTTTAATTTCAGTTGGGTCTGTTGTGATATCACCCATCTCATTTCTTATACGGGTTATCGGCTTCCTCTCCTGTTTTTCTTTTGTCAGTTTGGCCAGTGGTGTATCAGTTTTGCTGATCTTTTCAAAGAACCAGCTTTTGGACTTGTTAACTCTTTCAATTGTTTTTCTATTCTCTATTTCATTTAATTCTGCTCTAATTCTTATTATTTCCTT